AGATTATTATTTGAATGAGACTTCAAAGACTGAACCAATGAAAAATTAAACTAAAAGAGAAGCAAAATGGAAAAACTTGATTAAATTGGAAACTATGACTTAACGTAATAAATCTTTTTACTTTTTACTTTACTTTATGAACAAAAACTTAGAAAAAAATGGATATCAAAAGCCAAGACAGTTTATAAAAAGATGGCGGCTCACCCCGGACACAAGGTAACATCTGGTTGAACATCTTCAACCATGGGATCATTAATCCCTAGTAAGATCAAATTCGCGAGGATAGACAGAAAGACTCAAGGAGTACGGAGAAGTTGGACAATATAGCATCTATTGTTGGGTTCAAAAACCATGGAAATCGGGTGAACGGCATCGACGCTTGCCGCAAGACGTCCCTGGTACTGATTGACCTTTATCCTCCTTCCGTCGTATGGTATGGTAAAACTTTCTTGCTTTTCCTTTTGTGTTTTCTAATTTCGTTATTTATTTTATGTATCTGACTACTATTATTTTTTGTTTTTTTGCACCATCGGAGATCACTTCATGGGTAATTCCAAGGCTCCAAGGCTCCTAGATATCTTTCCCATCCCCGCTATACATGAAGAGAAGAGAAAGTTACTCAACCCATGCCGTTTCGCATCAAAGCCCCTTCCACGAGCTTTCTTTGAGATTGTCGTTCGCCGATCAATAGTTCCTTAAGGAGACTATTTTTATTTATTATTATATTTTTATGGACTGTACTCTTAACGGCCACTTGTGGCCGACACGTGAACAATTTTATTTTATTTATGCATTGTGATATTTATCTGCTTGCTAGTTAATGATTTTTTTTTTTTTACAAACCTATAAGATTGTTGCTTAGCACATGGGTGATATATCATTTTCACAGAAGATTAAGGCATCTAGTTATACCTATGAGGATCGGACAATAAAAATTGCATCAATTGAAAATGTGTAGTCCTAATGACTTTATAGACCTGAGTTATTGAAATATATTGATATTTGTCATATCATACACCATTGTTTTATTCATTTTCAATAATGAAATTGAAATTTCTTTGAGAATAGCTCTCGTTTGTATACTCTTATGCTAACACATATTTGTAATTCAAACTCAATATTTAAACTATAACGGAACAAACTAGCAATAATTTTTAATTTCGCATGACCACCCAAGCTTAAAAATCATATTTAATGTCGTCTTTACAGAATTCAAAAGGATCGAAATTATAGGATCATAATCATTGATATGGCACATAACACATATTAGTAATACCACAATCATGAAAAAACAAGAGCACATAAGATTCTAGTAAATGTAATGTTACAATATATAAATTATGAATTATCCAGTGTGAGATATTGGGATGTTACAATTTGTATGCATTAGGTTGAGGAGAGATGTTAGAGATGTTATCTTTATTTTCTATCTTTAGTTAGTTTGTTATTATTCTTTATTTCTATTTTGGGTTAGCTCATATTTCTTTATAAGTAAAGTAACCTATGTGTATATTCAACACAAGGGAGATTAATCTCATACATCGTTTTCACTATATTAAACAAAAATAATCAAATTGTCAATATATATAATTTGATGTAATATATAATTATAATAATAAGTTTGTGAAAGATGGCAAAAGGTTAATAAAACGTTGTAGTTGGTAGGTTGCGAGTAATCCACTTTCAACCTGACTTGAGTCCATTTAACCTATAAGTTAAGTGAGTGTAGTCCAACATAATTCAATTCATAATTAAAAACAATAAAACTTAATTACTTATTTGGTTTCTACTTTGATCGGAAAGTTACAAGTTGATATCCGCTTAACTTTTTGTTTCAAATGTGTCTTAATATTTGAAAAAATGTCTCATTTAGATGTTTTTTTAAAATTACTAATGACATGAAATATGTGAATTTTTAAAATTTTATTTATTTGTTTACTTATTTTTTATAATTTTTTTTGTTGTCCACATGATTTTTAATATGTTATATGACCTTGTCAGTGGGACATGTCAATATTAATATCAGTTTCAAACAAAAACATTAACATGTAACTAAATAGGTTTTGCTAATTTCCAAACAAAAAGATCATACTCACCATCATGTCAAAATGTTTATAAAAACATAAAACTGAAATAAAACTGCTTTGGTATAACTAAACATAGATTGTCTTATGTAACACGTAAATAAACTAAGAAATCATATATAAAATGCTAGTATGAGATCCGTATATATGGAGTTTATTTTTTCTTTGACTAATAAATATTAAGATTAAAAAATAACATTTGAAAATAAGTTTATTAGTGGTCAATTTAAAATTGACATAATAATTTAATAGTGTTATGTAGTAAAATAATATTATTATATGATTAAAATTTTGAATTAGACTTTTGAATTAAATATTATATTAAATGAAATAAAGTAGCATTATTGTTTTTTGGTGTCGTTCACAACAACAACAACAACAATAATAATAATAATAATAATAAAAAATATAAATATACTATTAATAATAATAATAAAAAATATAAATATACTATTAATAATAATAATACTAATAGTAGTAATAATAATTAAAAACTATATACTTTTCATAATTAAAAGTTACATATGTCTGAATTCATATTTTTGGAAATGGTGAACTTTACATTAACATGCTCCATCCATAATATTATTATATGATTAAAATATTTATTTTATATTATTTTTAATTACAGAACAATTTTGTAATTTTATTTTTCATTTATTAAAATTGTTTTTATTCATCACATTTATCAAATTATTAATAAATTTTATTTTTAAATCTATTCACTTTTGTTCAAATTCTTTCAAAATAAATAATACAAATTTTATTTTCAATTTTTAGTAAATTTATTCACTCAGTTTTTTTTCTCAAATTCATGAATAAATGTTGTGATTGTTAAAAAATTTCAATTATGTATAATTGTGAAAAATAAAAGAAATATAAAAAAACACAAAGGGTTGAACTGTACATTTAAGGTTTTTGAACATTTTCACAAAAATTGCATCTTGTAAAACCATAAAGTTTATATTTGCCAGACACATTACCACACATTAAAATTCCGTCAATGAAAAATAGCACAACTTCAAACTCTTAAAAAGCACTATTTACAACATTTTTAAGACACGTTTTTTTGCAAAAGTACTCCTTCTTAAATTAGTTGCAAATTAATAATATATAATTTAAAAGGAAAATAGTACTGAGAAATTTACACAAAATATTTTTATAATAGTTATCAATTATTAACTTTTAGCTTAAAAGATTTAAAATTAAAATGAATTAGTTTTCGAAATTTCTTTCAAAATCCTATTAAATTAAATTCAAGGAAAAATATTTACATTTTTTTTAGTTAACATGGATTAATTTATACTTTTTTTTGTTACTTACTTCTTTTCTAGGAATTGTTATTTAAATTTTAACTTTTCAATTGGATTTTAATAAACGAAATCGATTTTCTTTAATCTATTTATAAGCATACCATATTCGGAAAATAAATCAACCAACAATAACTCTTTTCCCACTACATACAACTTTCACCTTTATCGTTTTTATCATTTTCTTTTTATCATTTTGTGTCTCCAAATAAAATTAAAGTCTATATTAATTTAATAATGATATTATGAAATTATATAAAAATTTTATAATTATTGTGACATTATTTTAATTTTTTTAAATTTTTAAAAAAATATATAAAAAATTATTTTTTTATAATTTTTGTATTTTTTATTTTGTATGAAATGGATGTTAAAGTCATCTTACCATACTCCTATTAGTTATACTGAGTTTGTTTGGAAATTTTTGAATCCTAAAATGGTCCCTTGCATTATTGAAGTCTATACACATTATCTAATCCAGCTTTCTGGTTATATTTTGGATTATTTCTTAAATTAAGCAACGGTAGGTACCTCAAACATGATTTCTAATGAAACAAGCGTGATACCTTCAACATTCATTCGTAGTCGTAATTAATGGTATCTCACTTTTCTTCTATTTTTAAGGCATGAATTGCACCATGCAGGTTTTCTAATGGGGAATTAGGAAAAAGATTGATTACCAATGCCAACCTCCAACTACAAGTAAAACTTAACCCAAAGTCCATTTTGCCCCTAGGGGTAGTGAGTTTAGAAAAAAATAAACTGAAAAAAAAAATACTTGTATTTCCCTAAGTTAATTAATTGAACTTTGATATTCAACGCGGCTAGATGTGACAGGAACAACAAGAAATATTTATGAAAGGAAAAAAAAAATCTTAAATAATAATAATAACCAATGTAGCGTTTGAACTGTGAAGGCGATTTCAATATTCAAGAAGAAATATGTGTATGAAAAATTATATAATAAAAAAAATGCATAAGTAAGAAGAAAGAAGGCATTGACAATAGGGGAGAGAGAATAAGAAAAGAAGAACATGTGCAAAGAGTGGAAGCTTAGTGGACATTAAATGGAACAACCCCTTCCTTTCCCTGCACTTTCTTTTGCTTTCAGTTCTCACTCTCTCTCCTCTTCTTCTTATTAACAACACTTCACATTTCACAACACAAACACAATACTTCCTTCAAACTTCTCACTCTATTCCACCCTTTTTACCTTTTCTCTCCCTTTCTCTGTTCTCAGATCCATTGCTTTTTCTCACAATTTCCGCCACTGCTTCCAAACACGCCCTTATCTCATGTAAGAACATCTCTCTCATCTTCCTCGGATTACTTTTCATAATTCATTTTCATTTTCTCTATTTTTTTTTATTATGTTTGGAATTCGATTGTGTTTGTGTTTTTTTGGTTCAAAGGGAATGGAGGATTGAGATTACATGTCTGACATGCAATTTGGTCGTGTGGTGGAGGATTCTCGTATTTTGTCTGTATTCATGGTTATCTTCCCGCGGTTGCAATTTTGTTTCTTTCGTTGCCATTATTCTCGACTCGTTTTTGGACTCATCGGAAGTTTGAGTTGCTGAAAAAATAGCGTAATTATCGTGAATAAATTTATTTATTGTAGATGAATAAAAACCATTTTTTCGTTAATTTTTACTTTAAATACAAATCGGTGACAGAGATATTTTTTTTGTTGTTGCGTTTGTAATGCCAAATGCAACTACCACTTTTAAATGAGGCGATTGGGCTGCAGGACGCGTGGATGTAGCTGTAGCCAGTTGTCTGTGATTTTTAGAGAGATAAGATAAAAATTTTAAAACACAGGTTCAAAATTTATGACTATTTTATTCATTTATTTAATTAGCTATTTAATTGTGGTTTTTAAATTTCGCCTCGCGCCACTCACTGACATGGCCATGTGCTTCTCGTTTCTTCATTGACGGTTTCATTTCACTGTTGGTATCGTTTTCCATTTTGGGCCTGTTCCGGGAGGTGATGGCCCACGTAGCTGGGCCCATATTGGGGATTGTGTGGGAAAAGTTACAGCATACATATCCTAGCACCATCATATTAAAGACTTTGTTGTCATCTTTTCAAGCCATCTTAAGGCGTTACGCTAACTAATTATTCCATCTTTTGAACTTTGAATGCTGATGTTTATTTTCTTGTTTGGGGTTGTTGTTGATAGCAGTGTTTCTCTTTTGGGCTAGAACTTGCTCTCGCAAATGGCAGCTTCTGGGGTAAGTGTGATGGAGCTTAATTTTTTAGCTATACATGTATGGTTGCTTCAGAAGAATGACGAGTTAATTGATGCGCGTGTTAATGGTGGGTTTTCTTTTTTGTTTTGTTTCAGTTTCATCCTAGAAAGATAATGAACAGGTTGCCGTCGAAGAAGTCCCATCCTTGGTGGTGGGATAGTCACATCAGTCCCAAGAATTCTAAGTGGCTTTCAGAGAACCTAGAGGGTATGCAATTGCAATCGTCTTGTAGATAAATTGTTGCTCTGATACTTATAATTCTTAAATATAAGTTCTCTTTATATCAAGCTGTTTTGGTGCAAAAGCTTCGTGAAGTTGTAATACGCACTCTCTTCTTTCATGCGGCAAGGTTTAATGCGTAATAAAAACTACATGCATTAAGATTAGTTGGCCTAAAGTTTCTATTAATTTTGCAGAAATTGAACATCATTATAGCACTTATGAATCAACCCAATTACTTTAGACAACTAAAATCGAATTGTGGTGTAAGTAGGTAAATAGGTGTTCAGGTAATTCCTCCGGATAGCTTTGGTTCACTTGAAATCAGTATCAACAACTTTTAACTGGTGGTCTAGGTTATGTTCAGGTCTTGAGCAACATCCCCTCCCCAACACTCACTCCTTTACAAAAAGAAGAAATGAACAATGCCTTTCAATTTGTCTTGGATCAGGTTGATTGATGGTTTAGGGTTGTCTTTTATATTATTTACACTTTGATACTCTACCTATTATACTTTTTAACACTGTTATACTTCTGTCCTATTCCTATACCCACAAAATACCACTGCCTGCCTGATTGACAAGCTTTTCCATTTCTGCCACTACGTGAATTTGGCTATTTGACATTTCTTCCAGCTGGGACCAGTACTAAACACCTATATGACTATAGAGCCATAGAACGTTTTTATTAGTTGATATGCCATATTCAAACTTTTTGCTAGATTCTAATATTCCGTGTATTCAGAAGAAAAACTACAAAACAAATATTGTTGAAACTTTGGGAAAAAGTGTGTTTGGAATGTTAAACAGTTCGATTGATATGCTTCTATCTTTAAGCGGACTCTACTGTTGTAATTTGAAATTATTATCTCCTATAAAGAGATTTAGCATCTCTAGTGTGAGTCAGTGAACTTTAGAAGAGGAACTTTGTTGCAACCTCATACTTCATGGTAGTTTGTAATGCATGAATTTATATATTTTATCGTAATTGGAGCTATTGATTTTCTAATCAATAGTTATAATTCCACACTTCTCTCTCCATCCTCACTTTAGAGAAGCCAGACTTTGCTGTAAGATATCTATGAATATTAATTATCTTTTTGTTTTGGTGAATGGAATGCTAATTAGTTATCTTTATTAGACCATATAACTCTACTGTCTACTGTCATGTTCAACTCAACTGTGGAACATATACGAACTCCTGTTTTTCCTAAAGGGGCATTAGGTTCAGGTTCTGTAAAATCATTCTCTTCCAAAAATTATTCCCAGGCATATGTTTTGAGTATTATTCCTATTGATGGAGGTGGGTGGAATTTATTCTCACGAGAATGATTTAAGCTAATAAAAAGAATATTTTTTAAAGATATTCATGTTTTATAATTGCATTCCTTGCAATTATTTTTAAAGGATACCTACCAAATACTGAACATGGAAATGATATATTTCAGAAATACCGTTCTCAGGAACATCAATCTTGGTTATCCCCATCAGTGTAATGTTATTTCTTGAAAAACCTAAATATAAATTTCTTCCCCTTTATTCCTTCCATGAATGCACCTCTTAAACAAGCTGAAAGATTCTTCAAAGAATTTTGTTTTCTACACTTTTATGATGCCTGCTACTCTTGTTAATAAAGTTTGCTTTTAGACTGCCAAGCTTACAGTCTTCTGCTGGCTAAACAAAGAGAGCTGTTGACCTTCGTCACTTAGTCTAAGCAAGGGCAAGTTAAATCTGGTGAAGTAGTTCTTGTCATTGTGATATGATCATCTCTTCTTTCCCATGGTTTCCTGGATATGAATTCTCTAGTTCTTTTTGAGGGGGTTGGGGAAGGGGTTTTGCATTTTTTATATTTAAGCTAATCCTTTTTTATCATAATGTCGTCCAAGAAAATGACATGATTTTCAACTTCAGAGATGGACCAGAGTGTGAAGCGCATGTTGAAGCTGATAGAAGAGGATGCAGATTCATTCGCCAAAAGGGCTGAAATGTATTATCAGAAGAGGCCAGAATTGGTTGCTCTGGTTGAGGAATTTTACCGTCGTTACCGGGCTCTGGCTGAACGTTATGATCATGTGACAGGAGAATTGCGAAAGAATTTACCCTCTGATCTCCAATCCCAAGGTTCTGGTATTTCTGATGCTGGCTCTGAACCGACCTCTGCTTGGCCTTCTCCTACTCCAAAGAGAGGGGGTCGTCTTAAATCAAGTAACCGACCTGCTGGATTTGATTACTTTCTTGGCTCCAGTGGAAATGGTTCTGAGGCACAAAAAGATGGGGATGAATCCTCTACTTTGACAGATTCTGAGAACGAATCTGATGATTCGTCAGTTAATTCTGGTTTCTTACAGAATGGAAGTGATCTGTGGATAAACAGAAGAATAATAGAGTTGGAAACCGAGCTACGTGAGTTAAAAGGAAAGCTATGGATGCAGGAAGAGGAACATGGAGAGGTTTCATCTAGGGGATCGAGAAATGAGAATTCTGAAGATTTTTATACCAAAATCAACGCCTATGAACAAGAACTGATGAATGTTAACGACAAGTTAAGACTTTCAGAAGAAGAAATTACTAAACTGAAAATTGAGCTAGAAAAATACGAACCCTTTAATGCTGAAAATACGGAGGCTGGTTTTGAGTTTTCATCAACTAAAGAAGACGTCAATGATGGAGGGGAAGCCCTGGAGCACAAGATGATTGAGGTTGAAGGAAGTATTGATGTTGTGGATAAGGCATTGCCTGACCAAAATGCTGAGATTGAGTCGCTAGCAAGGGAGCTAAGAATTACCAAAGAAAATCTCAAAGCTTCAGAAACACAAATTACTTCACTGAAGTTTGAGGCCAATAAATCGTCTGAAAGAATTCAGCAGTTGTTGAATCAGCTTGATTTGGCTACTAAAGACATGGCTACTTGGAAAAACAAATTCAATAGTGAGAAAAGAGAGAGCACCAAACTCAATGAAAGGCTTGCAAGGTTAAGGACTAGTCTATCTGACCGAGACCAAGAGGTCAGGGATTTGAAAACAGCAGTATCTGATGCTGAGCAGAAAATATTCCCGGAGAAAGCTCAATTGAAGTCTGAAATGTCAAAGTTGCTGGAGGAACGGACTCATTTAGAAGAACATATCAGAGACTGGGAATGTCGAGGTCGTTCATTTGAAGAGGAAATCAGAAAGATCCAGTTTGAAAAAGTAGAGATGGAGGAGACACTCAGGGTTGAGATTCTGCTGTTAAAGGCGAACATTGAGCAGAGAGAGAACAACATAAAAGATCTCAACACTAGCCTTGATACTCTACAATTAGAGAAAGATAACCTCTTTGTTGAAGTCGGTTTGCTTAAGGAAGAGTTGAACTCCAAAGATGTTAGGATTGAACACCTGAACAACCATTTGAACCAGCTATACATGGAACATGTACAACTGATTGCGGGAATGGAGGAGGCACATAAACAAGTGGAAGAGCTAAAATCAACAGCTAAGCAATTTGAGGAGGAGATTGATAGGCAAAAAACTGTGATCTTAGACGGAGCGGAAGAGAAACGGGAGGTCATAAGGCAGCTATGTTTCTCACTCGAGCACTACAGAAATAGCTATAATATGCTTAGAGAGCACGTTATGGGGCACAAACGGGTTCCAGTTTTGGCTGCCTGATGAATAAATGTGAAGGTGATCTTGTATATTATTTTGGTTATCTTCATTTCTCTGTCTTGGAATTTATTTTCTTATGCTTATGGCTCTAGTGTATATGAGTCAGGATCATTGTAATATTATGGAGAAGTGATGACATGTTAGCTACACTACACATTTGCTGATGGCACTGCTAAGTTTCATTGATTTTTGTAAGAAGTATTGCCACAGAACCTTCCTTAAGGGTTCTTGAGAGGTTGAAAATTTGCTTAGTTTGGTCTGAGGTGAATGGTTGTGCAACGTTCTTTATTTTTATATTTTTTCAAAGTTGTTAAAAGATGGAATTCTTTTACAGTAATATATAATGTTATTAAAATTGGGTTTTAGATTATTGATTTTGAATTTCAACTGACCCCTTCGCTAATGCAGCAATTAAATATCGGTATGTTGGGTTTGGACTTCATCATTGTTTCGCTGCAGTTCATAGTGTTTAAATAATGTCTTCACAATGGGTGAGAACGTAATTCGACCCCTCAAATTTTATTATTTTTTGTATATATTTTTATTATTGTGGTATACTTTTTCAAGATTTTTATTTCGTCATTTGTAATATAAAGTTAAGATATTTAATATAGAGTTAAGATATTTATTATTATTATTACTATTTTTATTTAGTTCAATGTCCATGTTCTCATAATGTCAAATATATATACCATCACCTGATAATAAATAGTTCATTGCCAGTAACTTTAGGAAATTATGTCAAAGTTAAAAACTTGCTACAATAATGATTTTGATTGGATCACATTATAAAACTATTACAATAATTTAGGATCGTTAAAAGTTATAAAAACACCAACGTTAGTTTTAATTGAATGAAAATGTATTTATTGTATCGATTTTGAAAAATCAACGAATCAACTCTTTTCACCCAATCAGTTAACTTGTAACTTTTCATAATAGAATTGCTCAAAATTGAGTAAGTTAAATAGAGATCAAACAGGCCATTTGGCCATTATATTTGTGGATTAACATTTAGTATTCAATATAAAAGTTCATACTCGAGTGCAATAAAATGTTAATAGATGATTGGTTTAAGGAACTTTTTTTTTGTAAGTTTAACGAATATTATAAAGTTTAAAGTTTAGAACTCACTTTTATTTATTTTAAAGTATTAACTTTTTATTTTTTTCTCTCTCTAAATTTTTTAGTAAGATTTTTATTCTTTTTAGATGCAACCTCGTCGTTATAAAAGTTATCAAGTATATGTTAAGATTAGTTGATCATAATTTTAAATAAAGTAAATTTTTCTTTTCTTGAAAAGATTATTTATGTTTTATTTTTTATGTATAAAGTTGGAATTATAATTCATGTGTAATTTGGTGATTTAGATTAGTAAATATTTGTCTTGATTTTTTTATTTTGGTTTTTGATTCAGGTTCTTTGAGTTTGTGACAAAATTATGAAGTAGAATGTGATAATATTGTCTTTTATGATATATGATGTTGAGATTGATTAAAAATCATTGATTAGACGCATAAGGATGAAGTGGTGTAGAAAATATTGTCTTTTTATTATATATGATGTTGGAATAAAAAGGGTTACTAAAATCCATGAGTTAGATTGAAATTGAATTATTGAGATTGATATGTTCATGACATTATAATTGTTTGATGAGAATGATTTAATATCTAAATTAGTATATTGTTAAATATATTGAACATTCAATATTTTTGTATTTTATTTGTATCAATTATTATTGACTACCTATTTGGACCGATAAATTTTGACTGACCTATATCAGTCAATAATTTTTTATTAACTATTCTGAATCAACTATCCTTGATCGACCCTTCTTTAATCAAATTCTAAACGATCACCTTTATCATATAATATATATATATATATATATATATA